GAGCTTGCCTTCACTGCCGCCGCCGCTTTCGCACACGCCCGTCCAACCTTCGTCTCCCTCGATCCCTCTACGTTCCAGAACCCTGTGCCTGTAGGCAGCATACTATATCTGACCGCCACGGTCGTATATACAGACCCACCCCTAATTGGCGCACCCGACGAGAAAGTCGACGAACAAGCCGGGTACACACGTGTGCAGATTAGAATCGATTCCAAGGTCCGCGATGTTGAGCATGGCCACTCCAAGCCTACTGGCCAGTTCAATTACACGTTTACCGTGCCAAAGAACATTAGGGTTATGCCCAGAACATATCAGGAATTCATGATGTACATTGATGCGAGAAGGCGAGCTGAGCAGGTCAAGCGTACGCTGGAAGAAGGATATGGGGTTAGCCCGAAGACGGCGGAGGACAGTTTGACGGAGTAAGACTTGGGTCACACATGCTGGAGAACAGTATTAGACGTCGACACCTGATTGAACATCATACAATTGACAGTGTATACTGTAATTGAACTCATACCCATAGTATAAACATATCGATCAAGATTTCCGAGCATCTCAAACGCCTCCCAAAAGCATTCCATCGCAAATGCAGCTCTAAAGCCGGTACGCGCGCCTGCATGCGCCGATAACGCTTGACTCAAACAAGAAAGAGGTATAGCGCGTTTAATGCAGACTTGAAAACGTGAAAGGAAAGTACCGCGTGGGATGGTTATGCATGAGACTGAGTGTGCATGCATGCATCGATGAGGCGGTGAGCAAAGTCCGACCAATAACTCCGACGGCATACGCGTGCCGGAACGACGCTATGCGCAAGGAGAACACGACGTGTGAATGCACCTGCATGGCAAGTCAGTACCTCGTGTACTTCTGGTCCTCCATCCTACAAGCAATCGGCCGGACACGTCTCCCCGCCTCCGCAGGCCGCACGCTCACCCCCATAACCCGCTCTTCTGCATCTCGCTTGGGGAGGGGGAAGAATGAAGCGTACCTAACCTGACCGGCCCGTCCATGTCCATCATCCACCACTACTCGCTCTACAGCTCATCCAACTCAAACTCCAAAGCAACGTCTTCCGAGCAGTCCGTGCAATAGTAGTTTGAGAAGCCACCGCATTCAATCTTCATCTTGGAACACATGTCGATGGACCAGGCGTCGTAGGAATATCCCGAAAGGAGGCGGGAAGAGCAGACTTCTATGCTGTTGGCCCTGGAGGTTTGTCAGTCAAAGGGTTGGCAGGGAGTTGTGGAAGGGAGGGAAGTACCAGATGTAGTAGTCGTGGTTGCAGTAGTACCATGAGTAGGTGTAGGAGCACATGTTGATATTTTATTCTGGTTTATTCGCGGGATTCCGTGCGATGGCTGTTGTGCTGTGCTGCTATGGATAATACTGTCCAGATAGGCCTTGTATATTTCAACAGTCTATATACACGTTAGCTGACCGCTTCTTCTTCCCCTGTAGATCTCTCTTCGTTGTATCTCTTCTTGGACTATAGTTCCGCGGAAGGGAGTGCGGAGTTCTAGACCCGGGATTGTAGTCGTGGCTCCAACAAAGCTATATGCAGGGCTTGCTGTTCATCTAGCTTTACTTACCTAGATGTAGCCTTTTTCGAAAAGAAAATAGGCTTGGCAATGATTCGAGATATACCTGCTTGTTCGGCAATCGACTGCGTGCTTCAAATCCGCTTTCTTGATCTCGCAGTCAAGTCTTCTTCACCTCTAAGGATATAGAAGTACTCCGGAGGTGCTTCTGCAAGACAGCATCGGCCCTTTATGCTCATCCCGAGGCCTACAGTCTGACTCCTAACAAAAGCTTGGGCCGACGGCTCATTGCAGATACGCCGATATGCTCGAAAGCATCCCCCGGATTAGCTGATAACGTGAAGCGGTCCCTTCCAGCCAACCACATCCTCGTGTTTCCAAGATTGGAAGCCGAGCCGGGGGATAGATCCATGGCCCATGCGTGAAGTTCGGCTATCCGTGGAGAAGGCGGTGGAGGGAGGCCCTGCGTATGTCAGATTGAATGAGATCTTCAGCTTGAAGACTGTGTGCGTCAAGTATATGTATGGCGGCTTTCTGTGAAACTACAAGGTCGCATGAACGATTGCATACGCTGTCTGGACACCTCGGGTGTGTGTATCTCGCGTTCCAGCGAGGAAAAGGTATGTCAAGACACCCCAGACTTTCCATCTCGCCGACAACCGGTTGGACCCTGCGTCTGCGGGACGTGCATGCAGGGTCCTCAGGCTAACTTTATCGGGTCGAGTGACGCCTCATTGGATAGGGAAGACCGGAATAAGCAGCTATAACGGCCTTCGGCCTGAAGATAGCGATAGCAAGGCTGTGTGGAATCAATAGTATGACAGTTGTATAGTAGTTCATGGGAGTAAGAGTGATAAGGCGGCTGTTTAGAGGCAGACCAAGAGTCTTTGGTGACCATACGCCAGCATACATACCTAGACGAGGAAGACGTAAGCGCAGGCGAGTGCAGGATGTACAGGTCGCACTTTTCCACATCTGATTTCTAGCAATTGCTGCATTTTGCTCAGCTACTGTATCTCTCTATGCAAACTGTATTCAGATGGTTGCCAACCCCAAAGTTGGCCGAAGAGCCTGGTGCTGTTAATGTCTCCCACTAGCGTCCGATAACCGATGTCCTCCAGGAAGTCGGCATCGTGCTCAGCAACGCTTACTTACAGGAACACAGACTTAGAGAGACTGGGAACTGAGTATGCGATGCCGACACTCACCGCGCTAATATACATTTCCCTATTGCGTTGACTTGCCCCAACACGTTCTTGTCCGTCCCACACTCACAGCGCCTTCCGGACTTTCAAACTGCCGATTCCGCCCGCTCCGCTACGCCTCTTCTCCTCGATCACGCCAGTTGATACCCTCCATCGCATCGTCATAAGATCCGCGCTCCGATGGCTATCGGGCCTGTCGCACCACTATGCCGAAGGATTTCGATGGCTTTCGATGCAAGTTGCCTGTCTGGGAAGGTTGAGTAGTGGTGGACCGATATTCGTCGCATTTCGGACGCCGGGCACCGAAGATTCGCGGCGTTCGGCGCTGGTGTCGTTCCACGTTCGGCCGGGGAGGGGAAGGGAAGGGAGTGAGAGGGGTCGCGGTTTTCGGAGATTATAAAATGTGTTTCTGGAAGATCGGGTGTGTTATTGCTTCTTCTACTCTGGGCGACGATCGAATGAGAGGCGAGACCTGCAAAGTAAGCTCGGGACATTGCTAGACCAGCATAGTAGGTGCGTCCGCCCAGGCGTTCAGCCAGGTCAGACTGTGGTTCATTCTTTCTTATTCCGTGGTACCGCGATGACTTATAAACAACGAGTTGCCCACGCGCGTATCCTACAGTCGGCGCAAACAAGCTGCTGCATGTGACCTCCACGTCTTCGCCATATAAACACGATTGCATCATGCTCGCCATTTCATGGTTGGGAAAATTGTAGTTAAGCATCATCCAGACCTTCAAAATCTCCAGCACCGGAGATCCTTGCGTCCAGGCTTCAGACCTCAGTCGACGTAAATGATCTCAAGGTCCTTCCCAAGACTCACTTTCAGCTTCTCTTCGATGTAGTCACGGCTGTAGAGATGAACCATGTAACTCGGTAGAATGACTGTCTCTAGCCTGGCACACGGCCGTTCAACAATAGACTCTCGGCGCACAAGATCTTGGAACAGCCCCACTGGGACGTTGATGACTTTGATCTGATGGCGCAAATCATGGGGTACATGCCATGCGAAACCATCGACACCAAGAAAACCCAGATTAAAGGTCGTGCTTGACCAAAAGTATGGAAGAGCTTCGTAGCGGCACTGTTTGCAACTTTGCGCTAAGCTCATAGGATGAATCCTCAATGTTCTGAAGTAGCGATGATAGAAGCCGTGCGCAGTAAGGCATACTTCATTGGATTCGAACGCGTAGCGATAAATTTTGTTTCGGAGCTCAGCTGGAAGGCGCAAGAGAGGTGAGTCGCGCTGGTTCGCGGCGGTGCTATTATGATATGTGAGTATGAGGGGAATCTCATGCCATGTTCGAGTTCCTACATGCTATCGAGATCCATATCCATCTGACGCGGTAGAGTTGACGAATCACTAGAACGATCGGGAATCTTCTCGTTGAGACGGTGACTAGTGATTGATTGCGAAAGAGTCGAAGATAGTATTGGCAAGAGAAGATTGTGCTAGCGCACGAGGCTACCTAAGTACATGTTTCACCATCCCGTAGTTGCTCCGCCATACCAAGCTGTAATACCTCACCAAACCCTCCAGAGAAGACTTCACCATCAGCTTCGCTTCAAACATACCTACATGCGGAGATACTAATGCTTCCGAAGGCGACGTATGTGCCAAACCCACTAGGGATCAATCACTCGGTCCAAAAGTGACCTCCACATCGCGACCCGACCTCTTTCTGATAGCATCCACGATGTTCTTACGATAGTGCGGAGGTGTACTTTCGGGGCAAATGTGCCAGTACTTCAATCCCGGTAGAGAAGTTGCGTCCGGGAACGCATCAAAGAATATCACATCCGCGGAAGAGCAAGCTGATGTAATCTTGTTGAGCATTTCCGGCTTAACCCTTTCGATCATACGCTGCACCTTCCAGCGGTGACCGAATGATACAGTAAGGTTGGAGTAGTAGATCGGCTTCGCTTCGTACTCAATCTGCTTGCACGTCTTGAGAAGAGCATTTCTGGTAGTATTCTCCCCGCAGAATGCGAGTTCGTATATGCGGTTCAGGAGCTCGCCTGGTAGACGAAGGAGCGGAGAATTCCTTTTGTTTGCGGTGGTGCTGGTAATCTTATCAGTTCTATCCCTCTCTCGAAACGTTGGGTCTCTGTCGATGGCTCTTACATGGCTTCTTGCTCCATCGTTCTTTGGCTCCTGTGATGGTTTGGGTATGAATCCTGTGTATTCCTATCTATCGTGCTAAGGTACATGAGATGATCGGGGCCGCGCCTTTGTATGGCTAGCCTGTCAAGGCTAGTCATGTGACAGCTCCTCCTTAGATTCGTCCTTGGACTCTTCCTTGGATTCCTCCTTGGATGCCACCTTGGACTCCTCCTCAGGCTCATCCTGCTTGTTCTCCTCGCCTACGGTGAATCCGGTACCAGTCTTTTGGGCACCGCCCTCGCCATGTGGGTCGCCGAGAAGGTGGTGTTCGCTATCGATAAGAATTGGTGGGTTATGAAAGCACTGTAGCAAGTGTACACGAGTAAGGTGATGGTCGAATTGAGAAGTGAAAGAACCACTGTAGTGATGGAGAATGGGGATGCTAACACTGTTGGAGTTAATGTGTGATGGATGGAATCTATGGAGGATTTTTCTACATAGGCAACACGCTACAGGGCCCGTGCGCGAATTGATCACTAACGCGAATTGATTACCTTTTATGTCATGGGTGCCGAGGCTAAGCCCCGAGCATATAGTACAGCCATAGACAGTCGTTGCTCAGCAGCGATTCGAATGTTAGGATGTAATAGGTACGACAGGATATAGTCTAACGTTTAGCTTTTAAACGGTAATAACTATGTGTGTACTCTTAGACGAATCGCTGCCGAGCAACGACTGTCTATGGCTGTACTATATGCTCGGGGCTTAGCCTCGGCACCCCTGACAGCAAGCACCAATAACAATACGTGAGATGGCACCTTCTCACAAGGACCATTGAGGTATCCTTCTATAGTGAGAGAAAGCGAGAGGGAGCCGTTATAGCGCGCGGCCCTCCGACCGTGACAGAATACATCATTTGTATCCATTAAGGCATGACTATGTTTATGTGAGAAGGTATTAGTGCCGAATTTCAATCTTGGTAGTAAGTAAGGAATATGTGATCTCGAGCTACAAAGACGTACCGGTAGATTCCAAGCTATCTTCACTTCTGTCTTCACCTCGGCTGTTTACTTTTACTCACGAAAAGGGTAACATAATACCAAAAGCTTCCAATCCGATGACACAATGACAGGCAGAGTCAAGTCTAAGTGCGGAGAAAGCAAGCTGTATCTACAATTGTCGCCCGCGCATAGTATCGCGAACCGTGCGTTTGCAGTAGCATCACAGCTATTGTGTCATTGAGAGTTTAACAATATTGTTTCGTGCATTACTTCGTCTTGCCCTAATCTGCTATATAGGATTTCGCCGTACAAAGTTGATAAGTGCATAAGCTCCGCTCGCCACGGCTGCTCCTCCCAGTGGACCCACCCAGTAGATCCAGTGATAACTAGTAAATCCCACGACAACTGCTGGACCAAAACTTCGTGCTGGGTTCAAGCTACCACCCGTAAAGTAGACACTGCACATCTCGGCGATGAATAGCGACAAGCCGATGTACATTGGTTTCGATGATCCGGCCTCCAACATGAGAATGCTCAGGACGAGTTGCGCGGTGACAAATGCTTCCAAGAATAAACCTCTCGTCACGCTAATCGATGCGTCGAGCTTTGTGTCGATAGTGAGGGCCCCAGGCAAAAGACCGGAGACGAAGCCTGCTGCGGCGATAGCAGCTATCATTTGCGCTATGATGGTTTGGAGCGCACGGTGCCAATGTATCTTTCGTGTGAGCCACAAGGCGGCAGTAACCTATGGATGATCAGATTAGTACATGTTACACTGCATGTTCGTACAACCGCCACGTCTTGGCGATGTCGCAAATAGTATTGCCCAAGTGCTGGGATATATGAGCACAAGTTGCACGGCTAAACTTACTGCTGGATTGAATTTACCGCCGCTGATGTCGGCGAATATTGCGACGTTGATAGCCAGAGAGACGCCAAAGGCGAAGGCAATGTAGAGAAGCTTCCCAACATCGGGAATCGGGTTCGAAGATGCCGTCAAGTCGTTGGTGCCCGCGGCATTGAGCGCGATCTGAGTACCAGTGAAAGCCAGGGATAGAAACATGAAGGTGCCGATTAGCTCTCCCAAGAAAGCTGTGACCTCTGTACGTAAGACATGATGCTTCCTTCGGTCCTCCGAGGGAGGTGCGGTTGATGGCTCATGAAAGGGTAGACCAGAGTCTTTATCCTTATCGTCGAACATGATCCAGTACGGGTTGCTACCAAGAGTGCTTGAAGAAAAAGGCCTCAAGGTGATGGGAGGTGAGAGCACAAATGAGAGAGAGGATGTTCGTTTGTTGATTGAAATGTGCTTCTCGAAAGCCATTATATCGCATCGCTGAAATGGGAGGAGTAGGGTGGGCACTGCTGATTCTCATATTCGCCTGTGCGACCCGGAAAGCTGTGCACGCTTGAGAAGATCATGGTTCTGTCGTCCTGGGGTGGCTGTTGTCTGCTTGAACCCGCACGAGCCTGTTGTTGGAGTTAGAATCCATGCATCACGCCAGACCAGGAAGTGCTGATGCATTAGCGGAGTATGCATTCCGACTGGCGTGCCGTTATAGCGAGATTGGGAAGTCAAGGCACGATAGAGCTAAGGCGGAGAAACGTCCATGGGGTCGCCTGACGGTGCGCCACAGCAACTCAAAAGTGATGAAGGTTGTCGACATAATTTCGATGGTATACACCTTCCCGATTGCTACTGGACTTGATGTGCAGTAGCAGCAGCCGAAGATGTTCCGTCTACTGTGGACAGGACCATCCATTACACTACGCGTCAATAGCCTCACTGTTGGTTTGGAAAGAATGACTGCGATTCCTGCGAGGAGGGTGTGCATTGAAGTTCGAGCGTTGCCAAGATTGGAGCCAGCAATGTTTTGACAGGTCGTTCGAAACGTTGGTCGCTCCATGATACTGCGAAGACGCGTGCGCCGCCCCTTAGTGGCGGCTTCAGAAGAACGTGTCAATCAATACTGAAGCGATGGTTGCGCAATGATGCCTGTCAAGTAGGCAGTGTTGGGTGCATGGACATCATGTAGGGTGCTGCAAAGTGCAGGTGTGACGAAGGATCCGCAATGAGCGACTAAACATCAGCATACGAACGTGGTGTAGAAGAGAATTCCATGAACCCACTATCGGAGTGACGCGTGGCAGGCCTACACATGAAGCCTGGAAACGACTGCGCCTTCAAAATCGACTCGCATGGAATATGGAGGTCTTTCTCCAAGCGCCGCTACCGCTCTGCGTGGGCCCAGTCGCTTGATTCCAAAGATTCTGTGCTGTCCACACATTTCCACTTCTGTCATTTAGTTCAGTTGTCGTGCAACGTGCTCTGGCCAAGATTGGTGTTGCTAAAGTTTGGTCCCGGTGCACGGGACTCGCGTTGTGTGCTCAAGCTGATCACCCGCCCACAACTAAATGTAAACTGATACTCACTGGGAGTACAGCGCCCTCGGGACAGCCGCTACCGACTAATGTGGGCATAACCTCATTGTTACTGGCTTTCAACCGCACGTAATCTCAATAAATCTCCGCATTCGATAGAAACATGCCTCTGCACTTGCGCGGTGCCTTCATGGACGTAGAAAGTCTACACAATCGACATCAGCCAATCATCGCCGCAAGCAATCTCATACCAAAAGTGTCTTTGTATTCAATAGTCCATTCCAAGGAGCAAGCAACACTGCAAGCTACTTCGGAAGCATGTTATCAGGCGTATCCTCGCTGCTGTTGGTCGTGACGATTCAGGCACATTGTGAGCTTGTAGTTAGACATGCGCATCTACGCCACACCGATCATTCGATGCAGGTCGGGGGTGCGAGACCGTGATGGATTTCTTAGTGCCGCCCTACATTTGATGAGAGGTTTCGGAGTCTCTGCAACAGCTTACGACAGGCTCGGGCCGATGTTTTAGATCTCGCGCGCCGTTTCACCCGAGGATCTTCAAAACAGGAGACATCACTGACGACTTCGAGAAGGCCGTTTATATGCGATGCGATCCGATGCGAGAGCTTCGTAAGTTCCTGTAAGGATAACACCTCGTTTGATATTTGCCGGTAGCCGAGTGCACCGGGAGCGTCCTAGCCTGAGTGCACGTCGCAGTTTCAAGGTGAACAAGACCCAGTATCGAGCATCAGCGTCGAAGATGCATAGACAGTGTGCGAGGTATCATTGCTGCTTTTGTACAGCCGCTCATCTTGAGATGTATTGTCTTCGCGCGTGGGTGAGTTGGTGGGTGGGAGAACACTGCCGCTTACTAATGTGAATCCGGCACAGTAGGACAGCCAGAACCTTCAAGAAGTTCGCAAGAGTCGGCAAAAAATCGCAACGTTGTCAGAAGCAGAGAACAGGGCAGTGCAACATCCCCCTTAGTTTGTTGACGAGTTCATGGGTAGACAGGTGTGAAGATGGAGTCGAGTTTCGATCCTTGTCTAACCTGTGGAGCCTGAGGCAGGGGTAAATTACCAGAATCGCTAGCGAGCCGCCACCGAAAACCAAACCGCATACGTGGAGATGATGCCAAGCACTAGGACTATGAGTTACTTTGGTACCTTTGTCGTAGTACTACTCCTTGAGAAGTTTAGGCTGACTTCATGATCGAGCACTGCAGTCGCTGCACTTTGACCCTTGATATTAGCTGTATACGTGAGTGCATCGTGCCGTTGTGCTAACGATGTCGGATGCTGGGACATAGATATGTCACTTACGCCACAGATCCAGTCCATATCTGCTGTCGGTTGAGATGATGCTCCTGATGCCCAGAATATTGATGGCTGTAGTGAGAACGGCTGAGATGCGATATGCCAAGGCGACGCTATCGATCGTTGACGCTACTGGTAGCAATACCAGGGGACCGCGGACAACGAGAGGAAAAAATGGGTATCCATTCTCGCATCCCCCACGGACTTGCAACGCACGCGACACAACACGTGCGTGTTCTGGACTTGAAGATGCAGAACTAAACCGAGACCCTACGGACGTCTTTCTTAGCTCACAGACTTAGTATATTTCTCGGCGTGTGCGTCTACCACATTTCTTTACATACTGACTGAACGAGTCAAGTGGCACATACGGACCTATCCTGTTGTGGTCTTCGTGCAGCCATTTTGGATATATGGCATGATTTTCTACGATTCACTCAGCTACGCCTCAAGAAAGCCATGATTTTTGCATGCTTCAGCTGCGGTCACTCCGTACCTCGTAGCGTAAACTTGACTACATGACAGTCTTGATGAACTAATGACTTGGTTCACCATGAGTATATAAATACCTTCGGAGACCAACTAGATAGCCTCATCACCAGCAGCAGCTTCAGCTTCTTCAATCATTCATTAATTCGCTCAGTCACTCTTTAAGCTCGAGCACCGACGTTCTTTAAGTATGCGTTCTTCATACGTTCTTTCTGCCGCTGCAGCGTTTGCTGTGGTAGGAGCTCAGGATATCGACTTTGCTGGGGTCGATGCCACGCCTGGTATGTTACCTTTCTGGCTAATGGATGGAACACTGCTGACGAAAGATAGACCCAGTCATCAACATCATTCCTGGCTTGAAGGAGCAGGTGGTTCCATTCAAGGAGACCGAGGCTATTGCAGATGTTGTCTCTCAGGTCACTTCCGATCCGCTGGATGTCAAGCCTGTGTCTGAGCCTTCAGCTGTTCCAGATGTCAAGCGACATCTGAAACGTGCAGCATGTGACCCAGAGCCCAGCAACCCCAACACTTACGGGATTGATCTATCGTCTGCCAGCAAGTTCCGCGCTGACATTAAGCTTGCCTCTCTTGCTAAGGGTGCTTCCACACCTTCCGGATACTTCAACACCTTCACGAACTTGCAAGGTGCCAGCAGTGCTTATGGGTACATGGGGTACAAAGTGGTAGAAAGCTACGACCCATCTCTTTGCGCATCCGAGTGTGACTCGAAGTCTGGATGTCTCAGCTTCAACATTTATGTGGAGCGCGACCCTTCGGCGAACCCGGGACCTGACTGCCAGGACCCCGAAGCTGTCGCCAATATCAAGTGCTCTTTCTGGGGTGGGCCGGTCTACACCGACACGGCGACCAACACTGGACAATGGCGAGAGAAGTTCGAAGTCGCCATTGCTGGAAGTAATGGATACTCGTCTCTTACAACACAATCCGCCGAAGGTTACAAGCAAGTTGAGCTTAAGAACAGTGCCATCAACTCACCCCTCGACTGCAACAAGCAGGGATCATACATGGGCTACAAGCTGTTCGTTCAGAATGCATTTGATGCCAAGCTCTGTGCGACTGCTTGCAAGGAAACCAACAAGTGGGCACTGGAACATCCCCCTGCCGAAGGCAAGCCCCAACTCTGCCGCTACTTCAACACCTACATTCTGCTCAAAAACGGTGTTTCCCAGGGTCAATACTGCTCCATGTACACCCAGGAGTGGGACGCTTCCTTCGCCACAAATGACGGACAATACCGCGGCGATGACCACTATACTATCCAGTACAGCTTTGGCTTCACTGACGAGAGTGATGACGGTGTGCCTGTATGCCCCAATGACATCTCATACCTCAAGTCAAGCGGCCAGGAGTTCTGCAGCAGCTACATTAGTTATGAGCAGCCGACCACAACTGCGACCGCAACCGCTACTACGACGCCAGCCGCTTTGACGAACACAATCACAAGGACATCGACTTCCTACACTACTGACACTACTGGGATCACGACTGTCACTGCTGCCAAATTCGCCGGGAGACATGCTCGACGTGCGGACAATGGCACAGAAGTGTCTCACGATATCATTGTTGACCCTTACGAGATCTCCATCGTGGCTGTTCAAACCATTTCTCCCGAGGACGCAGGTATGCCAAAGCTCAACGACACTATGGCAGCGGAGCTCAATGGCGGCGCCATCGAAAAACGTGACCTCGCGACTCCAGCCTCTATCGCAGCCTGGCCCACCAGCAAAATCTCCGCAGCTTGCTCCCAGGTCGCTACCGGAACTGCTACAAGGACCGCAACCATAACTGCGACCGCGCCCACCCCACTCGCGACTGAGACAAAAGACTCCTTCCAGACTGTGGTTGTCGCTCAGAGCACTTGCATGTTACACGGGGTCAGGCTATACTTCTCTAGGCTCGGTCCGTACTAAGGCGAGGTAGACTAAAGCGGTAGTCCGTGAGGTATCGTATGGAATGATCAGGTGGAAAAGAGTTATCGTTGTAACCAAAA